TGTAAAGCGAATGACCTATCAATTCGTCGTTTTGAGTGCTCAAACTCTCTTTTGTTTGATCTAATGTGTGGGAGCTCGCATTGTCGTTGTGGAAAATGAACTTTCTTCGACGGTTGGTTTTTCTCATTTCTCCAAAGACTTTCGGTAAACCTATCGTATACCACTCAGATTTGATCGTTCTATGTGGTTAAGGTGGTACAGTTTCGATATAGCGGGTTTTTTTTTTAAAAAACATTCAACTATTTGCTTGGATTTACTCCATCCATGGACAAGTTTTGTCGGGTTTTGCTTATTTTGGAAGACCCAAACAGTGGACTGTTATTTTGTTTCGGGTTCATAGGCGTAGATCCATAATTTGTTACCTGTCACGGTGTAGTAGATGTGTTTTGAGCTACCTCAGCTGCATTTTTTTATCATTTCTTTGCATGAATCAAGTTGATTGATACATTTTTTTCTGTTTAATCTGAGTCAAATCGTAAAAAATCATCACACACAGAACGAAAACAACTATTGTAAAAAATATGCCTCTAACTTGAATGTCTCATTTAATATTTGAGTGAATGGACAAAGAGCTGAACCATAAAAAATTGTCACATTTTGCATTACAATTCAAGAGATACTAAATCAATCACACGTCTTCAAAGTTTAATTAAAGAAATTGTTTGCCTTATTATTGGAAATAGACTGATGGCTGAATTGGAGCTAAATCCCATTTAAGTCATTATATTATTTCTTCTATCCACTGAAGACATGTTCATGCCTGATGCCTGACACTTCTACTGGCAATTCCTGCAAAATGTAGATTCTCCATTGAATGTCATGAATATAAGTTATGATACGGAAAGCACGCTTTTCCTTTTTTAATATATTTTATTTTTATTTATCTTATTTTCGTTTGATTTTATGTTTTTCTCACTTTTATGGAAACGTTCTGGCTGCACTGAAGTAGAAATTGGCAGCGCAATATTTATGCGGCCGTTAAAATGTGCGCTTACACACCTGAGCTCGGTTACCTGAGGGTAGACGCAATACCAAATTAAATCGAGTTTCATTGCTGAATGAAAGATATGAGCCCGATAACATGAAAACAAAAAAAATGAAAAAAAATAAAAAAAAATAAATAAATAAATAAAAGATTTAATAATAATATTGCAATTTTATGTAAATTTTTTTCTTCTTGTTTTTATGAATAAAATTTATTTCCGATTTTATTTCTGCATGAAATTCTCATATGGAATTTTATTATTATTAAAAAAGCCATACTCGGTTAGAAAGTAATCGATTCCTGTTTAAATATTTTACATGTAAATTCATAGATTGCATGTTTGTTATCAAGCAATTTAATCATTTCAGATGCATTCCCAAAAAAAATAGAATACAAAAAAAGATACATTTAAATTGCTCTGCTCTCAAGTAAGCGCAATGTGCGTATAAGGACGAGCAAAGGAGCAAGACTATCTGCTACATATGGTTCTTCTACTTGTTTTCACTCAATATTTCTATATAAAAAAATTTATGGAGCGGAAAAATTTAAATTAGATTAAAATAAAATCAATGCTTTTATGAAAAACTAATTTTGGTAAGAGAAACCATTCAGTACGGAATTGCTTTACACTTGAATTAATACTCGTATATATGTTTTTCAGTAAAAACTTCCAAACAATCGTTGTTTAATATAAAATTAGACAATATGCATATTTAAAAGACAACAACATGGTATTGATAGCATTTAAATAAAATACTATAGATTATAAAATATATTTTTTTATGAGTATAGGTAGAATGTTGTTTGGTGATTAATTACACCACCACGTTTAATAATCCCACCACGATTAATCTGACCCACCCAGTTTTAAAATGCATCATTATTTGATTGAGTCCCTTTATGACTGAATATTTAGAGCATAAAAGCGATAGTGATATTTGTTTTGGAGTTAGATAAAAAGTAATCAAAATACTGATACACACGACCTAGCTTGGTGCGTTAACGTTCAACTCATCTGATGCCTGGTCATAGCAATATCGCGGGCAACTGTAGGACAGATGAGCTTGCCAAGGCAGGATCTCTCTTCTCCCTGATATTCACTTATCAGATATTTGCATTCCACTTGCAACAGCTGAACTGGCAATGAAATAAAAATATCTGAACATTACCAAGAAACAATGGGCTAATGAGCCCAGTTGTCAGATTTCTAGGTCGATCTGGTCTAATTTGGATAAAATATGTACGAGTCAGCTACTCCAACTAAAACAGAATCTGCTCAGCACTACGATATCGGTGTTGACTACTTAATAGGGAGGCATGCTATGAGATTAGGTATTCCTTATAATGACCTTAGTCGCTGTTGTGGCTCTGAAGACAAGGAGGGAACTGTTTTCCATCTCATGTGTCAGTGCCCATCTTTAGCTACGAGAAAATCTTGGGGTCCCTTTTCTGACCGATCTGACTGAGCTGTCATCCTACAATGTTAGGAACCTGGCTAGATTCATAGAATTGTCGGTTTGGTTTTCCTTCAGCTAAATGGAAGAGTCGTTGCATTTTTCGGCGTTGGATGTATAGTGATCACCTTGTCTACGGACCATTACTTGAGTAGGCTTTTTTTCTTATAGATAGATGTCGCAAATATCTACTGTACGGATATCATCCCTTTTTGAAAGATAGTGGGACACTCCTATTCAAGTAGAAGCAACGTATCCCAACAATCTAAAAACTTGACTAAAAACTAAATAAAACTAAATAATCTGCAGAAAGTTTAAATTTTTGTTTTAGCCAATGGTAGGCACATGTGACACATGTGGTAGAGTACAGTTATCTAGTTATCCGCAGAACTTCAACTCTGACATTCATTAGATTGAAGGCCATGTCTTATTGCATGTCCACAAAATACCTTGTGACTTCACTTAACAGTGTAGTATTTAGTTGCTTTCGCTTTAGTTACAGCAGCTGACTGGTAAGAATATTGTCGAATTCAAATCAAGTTTTATGATCTGATAACAATTTTCATATACTCAGGCTTTCTAAAAAAAATAACAATTCAAGGGGCGTGAATATCGTAAAGCAAGTTTATCATCTTTGCAGTTGCTTGAGATATTTCT